GTGGATGAGTGGATCAATTAGTGGAGTTCTAAAATATTCATTTTGATTATAAACTCTAGATCTATTATTCAATTATTCATATCATCTTGATTATATTTTTTCAAGGCAATTAATTTCTGCCCTCAAAACTAGTATAGTTGTACTAGATTCATTTTTTATTATTTGTTCTTTGAGAAAGTACTTTCCTATTGTAAATTGGGATATGTTGATTGACTTTAGTTTTAAGTTTGTTGTGTAAAAGTTCAAATTTTTCCCTTATTTTCGGATCCAAGACTTCAGATTAAACTTTGATAATCTAATCCTTTTGATATTTTTTCGATGTGAATAGTCTTAACATTTCAATGATTCGTTTGAAACAATTAGTCTGCTCACAAATTTACAACATGCTATATCAGAATCGTATGATTCAATTAAAATGTCAATAGAGTCAAGTGATTTTATATTTGTAAGAAGAATTTTCATTAAGGTTTGTTTTAAAACTTCATCAATTTTAAGTTTATTGAGCTTATTTTGCATGGTACATTGATTAGGATAGTGAGGTTTTCTTTTTTATGAAATAATGATATTATCTCTACAACCTGCTTCTTTTCCTTTCATTTAAAAGAGAAAGCTTGCGCTTTTGATATTTTGAAATGTTGGATAAATTGTTTTTGGATGAAATTTTCTTGAAGCTCTTATATTATTTAAGGGATTTTGATGTGGGAGCTAGATTTTTTATTTCGCATTTTATGTCTTGGTTTGTGTGTTTTAGTTTGTTATTTGTGTTTATTTGTTTTAGAATGGATTACTTGTAATTAGGAGAGTTTAGCCTTTATAAATATAGTTGTAATAGAGTTCTTATTTAGCATTTTATGTCTTGGTTTGTGTGAGCTAAGGATGGAGAGTATTTTGATTGGTTGCCAAAAACTTTCCCATATCTTTCTTGGTTAAGAAGTGAATTCAGTATTCTGAAGTGGCACCCAAGTGGTGATCAACCATCTTTATTTCATTTTATGCATTTTATTTACCTTATTTAGGATTCTTGGTCCAGGTTTCTTTCTTTTCTGAATTTAGATACTACATATTTCTACTTCTACATTGATTCTTGTATCATCGCAATATTAGAGCACGGTTTTTACCCTTCTTTTCTCTTCCTTTTTCAAATTCTTGCACATTTCTTCCTTTTCTTGCCATTATTTTTGAGTTTCTCCTTTAGATTTTGGTCTAGAATTTGCAGACAAAACTTGTTTAGAATTTGCAGACAAAAATTTGTTTTCTTTCCAAATTCCTAGTTTTCTTTGTAATCTAGATTTGTTGTTCTTTGTCATGTTTTCCTTACTTTGGCCGCATTTTCTCTGTCGTCCAGTTTGGGGTTGTTGTTTTGTCCATCCATGTAGGTTGATAATCCTCCATCTTGAGCTTATTGATTGAATTTTAGCCCATAAATTTCTAGCAGTTTGTTTTCCGTGCATTTGTTTGTGGTTCTTTCTATTCCCAATCATGCCACCAAGTAGGAACAATGTCCGTCTAACCCTAGATTTGGTTATGTAAGTCTTACAATAGGAGATCCGATGTCTTCAAGAAATGATAACCGTCCTTGAACAATGAATATTGGAAGAACATGAGGTGGATCAGGAAAACAAAATTCTTTAGGAAGATGTAAACTCATTTCATAAAGAATCCTCAAGTTTCGATGGGTTTGACGATCCGATGTTAGAATTATCGTGGATACCTATATATGATCAACCCATGTATGACAAGTGGAAATGCGTTGGAGTTCTTAAAGTGAAAATTTCATGCACTGATGTTTGGCACGATCTAGTGGAGTTTATTGCTAACAACATTCAAATCAGAAGGGTATCTTCTATCATTAGTGAAGTATATGCTTCTTTAACTCTTGGGAGTCTGAATTGTCATTGAATGGTTTGTTAATGATGGCTCATATTCTTTTAATAATAGGGTTTCTCAAACAAAGTGGGGATGTCATGCTTGATCTGATTTTATTTTATACTAATGACATACCTGATTGGATTCCCACCAAATATGAATAAAAGAAGACAAATATGCTACTTTTTAGAGTTGCAGATAATATTTATATTAGAATGCTGGATGCGCCCTTAACTGGTTCTGTTGGTGTTTGGCCGGTTAGTGCTCCCAATGGGACAAAACCTTGTTCATCATATTTGTCGCATAATTTAACAAATGAAGAAATTTTGGGGGGTTCATGGGCAAAAGCACACTTCGAGAACTTTTTGATGTGATTGGCCTACTTGTTCAACAATCTGCCTCTCTTGATATTTCTCTAGATATGGATTATGTTGATGGCTCTTATTCTTGGCTTGCGTTAGAGGGGTAATGGAGGCAGGGATTGTCTTGCAACCTTTCCATTTATTCTTGGGCAATAATGTTTGATAAGGTTACAGTACTCCTTGAAATTATTCAGGAATGATTTCTATGTTGTAAGGGGCCTGAGTACTTCGCAGGAAAGAATGATGCTAACGGTGATATATTTTCGTTGCTGCAAAGTCATCTTATTTTAGATTGGGATCATTAGAAGGGACCTAAACTCACAATACTTGTTCGATAACACACACACATGCTATTATGCTATTTGAATCAAATGATGAGGTTTTACCAATATTTTCAAGGTTGGTTGATCTTCCAATTGGGACACTCCAAGCTGCATTAGCTTGCATTCTTCAGGGTTAAGCACATGTAGATGAGCATGTGGTTCAACTGCGCTTTGATGATTTAGCTGCTTTTAAAATTAGAGAATGTGAGACGGATATAAATGAGAAAGCACTCGCCATTATTCCAAAAAGTGAAATAAAGCTTGTTATTGGGCAGTTGCTTATGCAGGAAACTTTTAGGAAAGACGAATGTAAATTGGTTGAGAGATTCAATTATGGGTACCAGACAAATTTTCTAGAAATTGGCGAGGGAAGTCAAAATTTGGTGCCGAATTTTAACCATGATAGGAATCTCTATGGAATATCTAATTTTTCTTCCAGAAGTTTTCTTCCTTCTCTCCACGATTTTATAAGCAGTTTTTCCTGATCTTTGCAACAAAGCTGTTATGGAGGCAAAGAACTGGTTTGAAGAGAAAAATTTTCTAGTCCTACTTATGATCAAAGTTATGGACCTTGCATTTCGAATACACGCATGAATCAATGTGGGTTGGAGGAAGATGTTGGTTCACCAATTGAGATAGCTAAACCTTACATGCAATCCTTGTTTCCATGGAGATCTCCTTCCTTCGTCACCAATAGTTTTAAGACAACACCTTCACATTTGAGCAGTACAGGAAATTTTGGAAGTCCTTTGATTTCTACCTCAGAGTTTAAGAAAAGGGATTATCTTGCCATTCGATCTTCAAACTTAGATGAAAATGAAAGGACCTATCTGAATCCATTGGATAATGAACATGGGTTTTCTATGTAGGGGCATTCTAAGGTACTCTCCTGGCTTTCTGTACATGAAACTTATACAATACCATTTGCAGTTGCATAAACTTGAAATGAAGTTCAATATGGAAATGTTTTTGGGTCTGACCAAGTGAAGTTCCAAGCCATCAATTCCATGCTAGTAGATCTTGATGCTACTTTCAATCTTGTTGAGGTATTGAATACAATCCATGACATCAATCCTGAGAGGGATATGATTATTCTAAAGAAGATAACTGTTGCTTGGATCACTGACCTTGACTTATCTGGGGATTAGAACGACTGTCTTTTTTCAATGTATCCAAGTTAGCTGCACTTTGAGAATCAAATCTTGAGATTGCTCAATATGAGGGTTACTTGCCAAGTTTGGTTGAATAGCGCAGGAGCTATTTTTTTTATTTCACGTTTTATGTCTTGGTTTATGTGTTTTAGTTTGTTATTTGTTGTGAATTGAGCATGGAGAGTATTTTGATCGGTTGTAAGAATCTTTTCCTTTTCCTTTCTGGTTAAGTGAATTCAATATCTTGGAGTGGCATCTGGGTGGTGATCAGCCATATTTATTTCAATATATGCATTTTATTTTCCTTTTTTTGGGATTGTCGGTCCAGGTTTCTTTCATTCCTAATTTAAAAATTACAGATTTATGTTTTTATCTTGTTTCCAATATCAGAGTCTTATGAGAGGTTTATCACGGGCGAATTGTTTTCAAGATGCTCTTAATTTTTTCTTTTCCAAGATTTTGTTTTTAAAATTAATTATTCAACTTATAATATTTGAACGAAGGTGAAAACATGTTTGAATGCATGTGTAGAATAGTGTTTCATGTGTGAGATTCATATGGGATACTTCCCATATGTGGTTCTTGGAAATGGTCTCACCTTTTCAGAAAACAGGTTGGGGATTCCAATAATTTTTTTGCTTTCAATATGGATGGTCAGCATCGGAAAGATGAATAATCTGTTAAGAAAAATATATTTATATCTTTAAAAATGGGCGGGTGTTATGCAACTGTTGTTTTTGAAGAGGGGATTTATTCATTTCTCTTTGGGCGACATGCATTCTCATGAGGTGTTATCAAATTTTGATAATTACTTTGTAAATGGTTTTTGTACTTTAGAAAGATTGGAACTTGGGGATTCTAATAAATTTTTTGCTTTCAATATGGCTGGCCAGCATTGGAAAGATGAATAAATCTGTTAAGAAAAATATTTTTATACCATTAAAAATGGGTTAGTGTTAGGCAACTGTTGTTTTTGGAGAAAGAATATATTCATTACTCTTTGGGCGATATGCAATCTTATAAAGTGTTATAAAATATCGATAACTACATTGTAAATGGTTTTTTGTATTAGAAAGATTCAAACCATCTAATCTGATTTCGCTTAAAATATCATTAGCGTGAAAATTGGCCAACCTTCCTCTGAGGATTCCTGGAAAGCTGGTTCTCATTTTTGCTGCATGCATTGCAGAATTACGTCTCATTTGAGCCGCTATTGCAGTCAAGACTACAAAAGTTTGCGAGTAAAATATAAGTGGTAAATCCAAACATCAAATTTATCTTTTTCTATTTATTTGCAGGGCCTGCTCAAGAGCTTGTAGAGAAGCCATTTTTTGAAACTATTGCAAGGGCATTGAGGCCTGGCGGTGTCCTCTGCAATCAAGCAGAAAGTATGTGGCTTCATACACATCTTATTCAGGATATGCTTTCCATTTGTCGTGACGTGTTCAAGGGTTCTGTGCATTATGCTTGGACTAGTGTTCCTACATATCCCAGGTATTTTCAGTTATTCTTCAGTTAATATACCTTCTGATTTACCAATTTATTGTATGTTTATCTTTAAATAAAAACAATCATTTATGAGATTGAGTTTATCAAGCATTCCTCAATGGAAACTTTTTTTTTTTTCATCTTATCATTTGTATAATTTAGCTCCAGGTTCTTGATGCTCCTGATTTGACTGGGAAAGCCTACTTCAAGCTGGGCTTAGGTAGACTTTTGCAGTTTCTATTTTTTGTATATTGGCCATTATTTTTATAGTTATTGCATTTATCTAAAGGGAATTATAGTATATATTTGATTATCTTAAGGAGCTTGTCGTAGGATCATCCTTGTTTATTCAACGCATCTGACATCATCTTTCGTGTTTGATCATGCAAATATCTACCTGATATTAATCTTCTTGTCACATTATTGTGCTCGTTTGTTAATTTATACATTTTATTCATCATGCTACCTTTTTTTAATGCAGCGGTGTCATTGGATTCTTCTTGTGTTCGAAGGATGGTCCTCATGTTGACTTCTTTAATCCAATAAATCCAATTGAGAAGCAGGAGGCAGGAGTAAAGCTCAAAGGAGAACTCAGATTCTATAACTCAGAGGTAGTAAATCATGAGATCCCAATTTATAATTTCTATTACTACTGCAAAGTGCAGTCAAGCCTTTTATTTTTTTTGGAAGATTTACATACGTACCATTCAATTCCTATCTATTTTCATATCTAACACCTCAACTTAAATTTTTATGTATATACCACCTTATGAATGGAAAGGTGTATTTTACTTTTTGAAACTTAAAATAGTGGTATTTTTTGTGATATGGTATTTCACTTTTTAAAACTTAAAATGGTGATATTTTTTATTTGATATAGAAGATTTGGGTGGTATAAATGTAGAAAGTGAGTTATTAGATATTTAAGTACATAGGAATTGGTGGTATGTATGTATGTCAGAATATTATTTTGTTATGACTATATGTAACCAGTTTCTCCAAACAAATTTAACGTAACCACTTTTAAAAATTTAGATTTGTTATTAAACCGTAAAGGCTTGGCATAAATATTCATCTTCAAGAAAATATACTGATGACAAGCTGATCTCTTCTGCAGATTTTAAGTCTCCCACGGTAAATTAGTTCTGTAGGTATTAATGAGTGCTTTACTTTTCAACCGATAGCTATTTAGCTGTGGGCTTTCAGGGATCCAAGCTCATGTCTATGATTTTGGCCAAAGTTACCGAAGTTATTTCAGGGATCCAAGCTCATGTCTATAATCTCATTTCACGTCGAGTTAGGTCTAATTTTAGTCTCGACAATCTGACTTTTATTCAAGCCTGGATGGAATCAAGTTTGCACTTATATTTTTTCATTTTATTCTGAGTTTGGTCGGTTATTTTTAGGTTTGACTTAATTTAAGTTTAGATTTGAGCAAATTTGGCTAAGTAGCCAGCTTATTCTTTTTAATTCCAGGAAGAAATGGATCTTATTTTTTTTTGAAGTTTGCATACCTACCAAACAATTATTATGGATTTACGCATGTGATACCTAAAGTTTAATATTTTCATTTGTAACACCTTGATGCTATAAGCGTACACATAAAAAAGTGCACTTGACTTCTACAAAGTTTGTAGAAGTTGTTTTTTTATTTGATGTTGAAGATTTGAGTGTTATAGTGTAAATATTAATGTTTAGGTGTCAGATTTGTAAATACATAAAAATTAGGTGGTATGTATGTAAATGCCCGCATTTTTTTATTGAATTTGTATTTTAAAATCATGATTTGGTATCAGAACCAATGTAAAAAATTGGCTTTAATAATAATTAGTATTCTGGCATATTATAAATAAGCTGCAATTCTGATCTTAAAAATTTAATTTTGCGTTGTGGGACACCATACTATTTATATTTGTGAGGAACGAATAAATAAAATCCTTTTGTTTTTATCTTGCATGTTTCTGCTGGAGGAAATTATTTGTTTTGTTTATTCCTGGGACAGATGCATAGGGCCGCCTTTGCATTGCCATCATTTGTACTAAGGGAGCTGAGCGCAACACTAAACGATTCGCCACATGGGGTTTACAGGTATTGTGATCACCTTATCTCTGTTAATTTTTGCTTGTGATAAATATAATGATAAAAATGTTGAATAGTTTAGATTGAAGTTGATAGGGAATTTTCAGAAAAGTTTCAAAATTCTTGTCTATTAAATTTCTCTTACCAAATCTTTATATTTATTTTTATAGCATATTAGCGTCTGAATCATATAGACGTGTGTGTTTCACTTGCTTTTAAGTTAATGTTAGTGGAATTTTTTTTACTTTTGTGATTTAGTGCTCATGGTGTTATATAACTAAATATAAAGGTTTGTGTGTTAGATATGCAAATATTATTATATTTCTTTATTTAGATTGATCGGATTATGGATTTGAGTCCCCTTTATTAACCATTTGGCTTTTTATTGAACATTTTAATGTTATCATGCGTCTTTTTTTGATTTGATGAATTTTATTGGATCGTGTGCCTCGCAGTTACAATAGAACTGACTGATGCCTGATGGCATACATCTGGGAGGGGAAGGTCTCTTTTCACCGTTGGTTGATATGGTGAGCAGATGTTGATCCACCAATGTAGCGAATGACGGCATGTATTTTATATGAACGCATTTATCAAAACAATGTTACATTACATTGAAAATTTGATGCTTTATGAATTATTTAATATTCATATAATATAATTGTATTAAAGATCAACATTGATTATTTTCAAAATATATTTAAAGTTGGTGTCTCGATAATTATTATTTGCACATGTTGAGTTTGATGGCAAAGATTTCTTTCGAAATGGAGTTGAAGTAATGAGTTTTAAATATAAGAAGCATAATCACATATACATACAATTGGTTTCTATACTTGCATGTACTGTATGTATAATATTATGTTATTTAAGTATATATTTTGAAATAATTTGGATACTTGTGTTAAATATAATATTTTGTATTAAATATTTAATACATAGGAATGCACATGTGATAACCCCAATCATTAAAATCTATCGATAAGCTGGAGGAAGGCAATAACAATATTGATGAACCATTTCTCTTAAAAACGAGTCATCAGGAAAAAAAATTCTCCAATGAATGTTAAAACCGAGATTTTCATACCAATTCAAAAAAGGTTTAAATTCATCTACAAAGTTGTTTAAATTCTATTATAGATGCCTTGATTAGAATTTATTTTTTTCTTTTAAACAATGTTTGAGAATCGGACATAAAAAACAGTATGTAGTGGTTTCTAACATCCAAGTTCAGAGCAGCTTTTTCGGATTTAAATACACAATAAACAAGTTGATCTAAGTAGAAAAATTATTTATTCAATCTATTGTTTTTGGCACCGTTGCAGCTATGATAAGATGGATGCTTATTTATTTATGTTTGCAATTGAGATTAATGGTTCTATTTCTTTTAATATGACAAAAAAATATTGAAAGATTAATAGCTGAAATTGTTGGAGGTGATGGTGATGCAAAATGTTATAAATAAATGGCAGCTGGCTTCCTTGGTGCTCTGCTAGAGTTTTTGTGGGATGGCTGACTGCGGCTATTGCTGTGGAGTTTTTTCAGCCTTTCTTGTTTGCACTTTCTTGTTTTTAGTGTGTTTGTGGATTTTGCTTTTCTTCTTGTTGTGGTTTGCTGATTTTCCCTCTTCTTGAGCGAGTTGGAGTTTGAATTTTTTACTGTTCCATTGGAGTTTTTCTTGAAGTTTTTCTTAGGGCTTGACTGCTGCTTTCTGTGCTACTTTCTGCTTCTCTGCTAAGTGTATTGATGGCTGAATTTACTTCTATTGATGTTGAAACTAACTCTCAGTGGACCAAAGCCACCTATGCTGGTGTGGTGGGTAAAGGACAAAAAACTTTGCAAAATGCTGAACTCCTGGTTTTCCCACAATCTTTTCATGATGCTGCTGTGGGAAAGGAACCTTGTCAGTTCATTAACCCTTTAGTTATTAAAAATGGAAAACCTGCTATTTATTATAATGAAGAGGAACATGTCACCCTAAAGGTTGAGTGCAAATTCATTCTTATAGGAAAATTCCAACTTGGACACCCCAAAATGGAAGTTGTTAGAAGGTTCTTGACAATTTTCCCTTTGCCGGTGCTTGGCAGTTGGGGTTGGTTGATGGCTGACACATTATGATCAAGTTGGCTTTAGAAGAGGACTATGCTAGACTCTTTGCCAAGCAAACAATATCCATGGATGGTATCCCCAGAAGATTGTTAAATGGACACCTAATTTCTATCATAGTAAAGAGCCTCCCATTGTCCCTATTTGGTTCAAATTACTTGGACTTCCTTTACATTGTCTTAATTATAAGGTCCTTTTCAACATTGGGCTTGCTTTGGGGAGACCATTGAAGAAGGACTTCCCTGCCTTTAATCTATCCAGACCTTCGGTAGCAAGAATTATGGTGGAGAGGGACATCACTTTCCCTGTGGTAGAGGAAATCTGGCTTGGGTCCAAAGAGGAGGGGCACTGGCAGAAAATTGTAATGGAGCAAAAACCTTATTATTGCCCTCATTGCAGAATGCTTGGGCAAATGTCTGACAGGTGCTATAGGCTGCACCCTACCAACTAGAAGAAAGCCACAAATCCTGCATAAAATGGAACTACTATTGTTGATAATAACAAGCCTCCTGAGAGTAATGTTGCAGTGAATCAACCCCCCACTGTTGAAGCAATCAAAAGAGCTGAAGCTTCTTCTAGCCATCAGAATTTACACACTGCACTCTTCAAAGAAACCCCTGGCCCTATACCAGCTGATCCACAACTAGAAGAAGGGGAGTGCGACATTGTGCTTCCTCTACAAACTAGTAAATCTGTGCATGAAAAGGTGGCAGGCACTTCTTCAGTTACTCCAAAGGATTCTGCAAGATCATCTGAGGAATTGATGGTAGATATGAATCAACTATTGGAGAAAGATTGGCAAGTTCAGAAGGCAAGGAAGAAAAAGAAACCCACTTTGGAAGAGAAGAAAACTTTGGCAGACACATATAATACTAACAGCTCTCAAACTTCTCAAAGGAAGTCGCCCACCCAATTTAACAGGGAGAGAACTAGATCTAGATCTCAACCTTCTCAACATGATTAATTTTCTTTGTTGGAATGTTAGGGGAATTGCTCACCCCTCTTCCATGAAAAGTATTTTACATCTTAATAAAAAACACAAACTCTGGTGCATTGCCATTCTAGAACCACTGGTTCATAAAAATCCACAGCAAATATTTTCTAGATTTGTTGGGTTTTCACATTTTTCTTACACAAATAATAAAATATGGATCTTTTGTAGGAAACAGATCATTTGGGATATTCAGGTTGATCATCCTCAATTTGTCCACCTCTCCTTCAAAACCTGTGGACACAATGGATTTGCCACCTTTGTCTATGCTGGTTGTACCAAAACTAATAAAAGGGAAGTTTGGTCTTGTTTGCAAACTATCAGTAATAATATGGCTTCTTGTTGGCTGGTGGGTGGTGACTTTAATTGCATTGCTACCTCTGTTGAAAATTCTAGTGGAAGACCCCTCAATTTAGCCAAAATGAATCTCTTCTCTGACAACATCCTTTAGTCTGACTTATTTGATATTGGCTTTGAGCGGCTAGAATTTACTTGGAAAAGAGGGGCTATCTGGGAGAGACTTGATAAAATTTTGATAAATGATTTATGGTGTCAGCATTTCCTGATACCTTTGTTACTCATTTAAGCCTTGCAGGTTCAGATCATAGGCCTCTGTTAATATCCATCGCTGCTACTAAATCTACATGCTCTCCTCCTCCTTTTAGGTATCTAAATATGCGGTCTGATCATCCTTCTTTCCTTAATACTGTAACTGATGCTTGACACACTTCTCTAATCTTGGATCCTTAGTCCAAAATAGTTTTTCTGCATTCTAACGTTAGCAAAGCACTGAAAACTTGGGGTTGGACTTCTTTTGGAAATGTTTTTGCTGCTGTGGATTCTACTAAAAGGGAGGTGCTAGAGTTGGAAAAGACTGTTTTAGCAGATGGTGGGGAAGAGATTTTGTTATTAGCTGCTCAAAAGAAACTACTTACTGCAATTGCAGGCAAGATAAATTTTTGAAGCAAAAGGCTGCCATAAGTCACTTCAAGGAAGGGGATAGAAACACCAAGTTCTACCATGCTTGTATTAAGTACAAAAGACAGTGTAATACCATTCAAAACATTTAGAATTTTGAAGGAATTTGGCTTTCTGAAAATAAAACCATTGCCCTTAATGCTGTCTCTTATTTTCAACAGATGTTAACTCAACCTGATATCCAATGAGCACCTATTGGAAACACTTACTATACTGAAGAATTTTCCTAAATTTTTATTCTTACTCTGGATCACCCTCCTACTGCACTTGAAATTTGGTAGGCCCTCCAATCTATTGATAGCTCTAAAACTGCTGGACCTGATGGCTTTACCTTTGATTTTTACAAGAAATCCTGAGATATCATAAAAGATGAGGTGGTTGTTGCTATTCAAAGTTTCTTCCAAGACTCCTCTATCCCTCAATACTTCAATGCTTCTAATATTGTTCTCATCCCTAAATCATCTTTCCAAAAGAATTAGAATGATTATAGACCCATTAGTCTCACTTCTATCATCAATAAACTTATCAGCAAGATCATTGTTGGCAGACTCCAACCCCATCTTGGTAAACTTATTTGTGAGAATCAATATGCCTTTGTGAAGGGTAGATCTATCACTGATAATGTGCTCCTTGCCCAAGAGCTCCTTCTGGATTTGGACAAACCCTGTAGGGGTGGCAATCTTATCTATAAATTAGATATTAGGAAATCTTATGACACAATCTGCTGGGACTTCATTTTGAATGTTCATTCTATTAGAGGCTTTTCAAATGAATTTTATATTCTCATACACAGGTGGCTTAAGGGCAACACCCATTCTGTTCTTATTAATGGGCAAACTTGGTGTTATTTTTCTGCTTCAAGAGGTTTAAAAGAAGGTGATCCTCTTTCTCCCACAATCTTCATTTTGGCTCTTGACTATCTCTCTAGAATGCTCAATAGAAGCCTCCTCCCTTTCAGTTATGTCAGGTATCACCATAAATCTAAAGTTGCTGTTTCCCATCTAGTTTATGCAGATGATATTATGATTTTTTCTAGTGCTAACAAGAATGTAGTGAAGAATATGGAAAAATGCCTACAGATTTTCCAAATGTGCTCTAGGATGAATTTTATCCCAGATAAGTGTAGTGTCTATTTCAATCAGTACACCCCCATGATGCATAAACAATGGATCCTTGAATATACTAGATTCACTAGTTCTGAAATTGCCAATCAAGTACTTTGGGGTTCAGCTGATAAAAGGGAGATCTAAGCAAACTCAGTTTGAGGATGTGCTGGGAAAAATCTCTACCACTCTATCTAGTTGGACACACTCCTTTCTATCTAATGGGGGTAGAATTTTTTGAAGAGTATTCTAACTACTTTTCCCTCCTAAATTCTCCAATTGAATACTATGAAGAAAAGCACTCAATTACAAATGGAAAGGGCTTTCAACAGATTTCTTGGGGCTGGTCAGAGGCAGCAACTTCACTGGGCTAGTTGGCAAAAGTTTTCTAAACCCACTATGGCTAGTGGTATTGGCTTTAAAGGTCTGCAGCAGCTCCTTCAAGTTAACCGTTGCAAGATTTGGTTCAAATT